CGCATTGACCGGGTAACGGGTATGGGGCGGGGAATACCCGTTTTGTTTTTACGGGTAACAGGGCGGTTACGGTTTTATACATGCCCGCCCCATTACCCGCCCCGTACCCGCCCCGTTTATTTTAGTTATATGTTTATTACATTTTTATCTATTATTTGTCCCATAAGTAAATGAAGATGAGATTTTTTCTATTTTCATTAAGTATATGGATAATAGATGTACTAACTATAATGTTCAATGAGAGTTCATAATAGATCTTAATAGTCTTGTTTGATTATTATCATATTTTTCAGATCAAGTATTTTTAGGTGATGCCATTTTTTGCCTTTTAAAATATTATTTTTATATTAAAATATCAATCACTCATTTAATAAAGCGATTACCCGCGGTTACCCGCGGTTATACCCGTTACCCGTTGGGGCGGATACGGTTTGGGGAAAAATGACCCGTTGGGTAATGGGGCGGTTATGGGACGGTTATGGGGCGGGGAATTATCAAATGGGGCGGGTACGGTTAGTGAATAATTATTTTTCAGATCAAGTATTTTTAGGTGATGCCATTTTTTGCCTTTTAAAATATTATTTTTATATTAAAATATCAATCACTCATTTAATAAAGCGATTACCCGCGGTTACCCGCGGTTATACCCGTTACCCGTTGGGGCGGATACGGTTTGGGGAAAAATGACCCGTTGGGTAATGGGGCGGTTATGGGACGGTTATGGGGCGGGGAATTATCAAATGGGGCGGGTACGGTTATATGTAAAACCGTCCCCGAAACGCCCCGTTGCCATCCCTAAGTTCGGCCACCCTCCATTTGAGGTGTTCTCGGGTAGAATTTTTTGATGAAATTTTGTAAACATATATTTTATGAAGTGTAAATTATGCTCACTAAATTTAAGTTTAAAATACAATTAGAAATTCAAATAAATAAATTATTGAAAAGCACTACGACAAAATATACTACCTCCGTCCTGTTGGAGGTTCCCATAGCAAAACAACACGGTTATTTAGACAATAATTAAATAAAGTACTTCGAGTATATTTTGAGAAATAATTTTAATAGGTATATATTATAATGTAGTTAGTATTGATAACTGGGATGTTATAAATTTATTTTTTTTAATATTTAATAATTAATTTGTCACTTAAGAGTGTTAATTGTTTCCTAAAATGGAAATCGGACCTCTCCAAAATCGTAATCCCACCCAAAACAGAGCATAAAACAAGACTATACTTTAAGAAGTTAAAGTTAGAGATGCTTTCAAGACGGAATGACTTGATCTCCAATTTGCGTAATTGTATCCTTGGGAATGTAGAGATGGTGCATGCCACTTGAGCAATGACGTGGACGAGCGCAAATTATATGGTACACCCGGGTGTACGCGTACACCCGGTTATTTTGTAATTCCACGCAACTTTAAGGCTTCTTCTCTTGCTCCATACATATGTTGCACCAACCTTATCCGTTGACATCAGCCGACAAATAGAGTTTTCCATTGAAGGTCCGGTGAAGCTCGTGTTTGTGTCTCCGGATGCAGGGCAGTAGAGGGGGAGCAGGACGCCACCGGAGAAGAAGTTGTCTGCTGAGGAAAGATTGGTTGCCGACAAACTGAATTTTCCATTGAAGGTCTGATGAAGCTCGTATTTGTGTCTCCAGAAGCAGGACAGTAGAGGAGGAGCAGGATACCGCCGGAGAAGAACTTATCTGTTGACGAAAGATTGGTTTTTTGAAGCATACAAAACTGGAAAGAGATAGAATCGTTGCTGCTTCAATCCTTGATTTCCCATCTTGATTTCAAAGAGCAATAATGATCGTTTTCTACTTTTCTTTATTCAACACTTTTCCTTTTTCATTCCTTTCACAATAGATTGAAATACTTCGTTCGAGTTTAGCCTGGATTGCCCAATAGCCCGTGCCCCGATCCGTCAGAATTTAGGCGTCTCTGATTCGTTACGATTCCTCCATCTTTGTGCTGTAGAGATTCTATATGACAACGTTAATGCTCTGTATAGACTAGATTCCACTGAGATTGACTTGACAAATCAATCCAATAACCCTTGTCGCATGCTCTCACATACCAAATGAGCATAACGTTTAAACGAAATGAGCATAGACAAATGAGGATTTGAGCACATTAGCGATTTAAAATACTTTCTTTCGATACTCATTTTGTAAGTGATGTATGCTCATTTGGTACTGACATTATGTTCATTTTAAAATCTCATATAATTTCATATTTCAAAGGTATCATATTAATTAAATGAAATAATGACCCCCCATATGACTAGAAGTTTACGTGTTTCCCAATCTATGAGTTCAATCTTTTTTTTCCCAAAATGATATCTCATGCCTCGATTACCATCCTGCGGCCATTTAATGAAAAAAATTTGTTCCCTTTTTACCCTCCTAAGTAAATCGTGTAAGTAGTAATTGGAATAGACATTTTTCATTTTTTTAGCCACTGAAGAGACCACTCCGGAAGGTAAGGTAACCGTTTTCCATGTTTGTTCCCCTCTGCGTAAGGTAATTCTCTGCTACTCCCTCCTCCTTATTCTTTTTCGTTAGTAGATAATGTCATGTATTGCACACACAAAAATTCATATTGCTCAATGTATTGCAAAAAAAACGGTTTTAATCTACAATCATTGCTTTTAAAATTAACTTCAACACCAATTCCGGAAATTATTGCGCAATGTATTGCAAAAAAATAGTTTTAATCTACAATCATTGCACACAAAACAAATCATATTGCGCAATGTATCGCAAACAAATTGTTTTAATCTACCATCATTGCAGTAAAAAAAGTTTTAATCTATAATCATTGCAGTTAAAATTCCGGAAATTATTGCAATAAAACATAACAAAACTCACCACACACTGTTGACTGTAACCTTCGTTGTTTCGTCTGGCCTTGCCGATTTACGGTCTGTTTGATATACGCAGGTTGGGGAAAATTAGTGTAGAAGGTTTAGGAATCCTTCCTTAATTGAATTAGTTGCCATAACTGACCGGCCGAATTTTTAGCTCTAATCGTCATAATGAGGATTTTGAAAATTGAGAGAATCCTATTCTTTTGCTTCCCCCTATGCCCGTAAGTAGAGGTTAAATTGGTCTTTCAATGCAATCATGTAGCCATGTATCGTTTCAATTAATACACGGTTACTCATATATTGAGAAAAAAAGTGCATGAGTCATAGTTTGGGAAATGGGTTAAGTTATGGTCATATACCCATATTTTTTCCTAATTAAATCAGATTCATGCAGGAGTTCATTATAGATATAGAAGCACATAACATGATACCCAATTGCATGTTTTCAATACTCAATACAGGAGGTTTGATGTTCAATAAAAATGTCTTGAAGTTCAATAAAAAAACTTATGAGTTTCATATCAATACTCATTTTGTAAATTACGTATGCTCAATTTATACTCATATTATGCTCATTTTTAAAATTGTCATATCCATGCAAATTTTAAAGTTGCATATGACATTAGATTCGCGTATTGATCGAAGTTCATAGAACTTGATCATCATAGATATTACTATCTCCGTCCCAGGGACAAGTTCTCACTTTTTTTTGGCAGTCCCAACAAAAATTTCTCATTTCCCTAAATGGAAAGTTATCCTACATCAAAACAGTGCCAAACAGTGCAAAACAGTGTCAAACAGTGTCGAAACAGTGCCAAACAGTATCGAAACAGTTCCAAACAGTAAAATTTACCCCTCAGTAACTTTATTTCCTTAATATGTGTGAAAGTCAACCCGGGAACTTCTCCCTGGGACGGAGGGAGTATTTAATAAGTTTTTGTAAAAAAAAAGTGAATTAAAAGATATGAAGCAGATATTACAATGCTCATTGTAAGGTTCCTAATACCCAACAGAATAAGTTAGATGCTCAACAAAATTATTTTAATGCTCATAATAGGTCTGATGCACCTTAAAAGTTCCTTAATGCTCATTTTACAGAAATCATGATTTTCTTCTCAATAGAGGAGATTTGATGCTCAATGAAAATGTCTTTATATCAAACTAACAAACCTTACGATTTTCATATCAATGAACATTTTGTGAGTTATGTATGCTCATTTGGTAATGATATTGTGCTCATTTTAAAATGTCATTTCAATACATATTTAAAAAGTATCATATTAAATTAAAATCCCATATTGAAGTTCATAGGAGTGTATTATAGATATAATTTAAAAAAAATTATACAAGAAAAAACAAGAAAAAGAAAAGAATTAGAAGATATGAAGTAGAGATCGTGATACTCATTGTTAGCCTCCTAATACTCAATAAAATATGGCAGATGCTCACTAAAAGTACATTAATGCTTATATTTAGACCAATATCAAATGAGTATAGATAACTTATGAAATGAGTATCGAAAAATTTAAAAACTAACTTAAAATCTCTAGTATGCTCATATATCAATTTGGGTATACTCATCTAATATTATAATCAAGTGAAACAAACAATGAGATACTAGTATTTCATTGAAAGAGAAATGAACCTTCACACCGTAATTTTTTCAAACTCTTAGTAGACATTCAACATTTGTAAGCTAATTAAAATAAACTACAATATTATTAATGAAAGAGAGAAAATTATATTTAACCAAATTTTCATCTCAAAAATTAAATTTATATTTAAATTAAAGTTGTTAATATAATTAAGAGGAACTTTAAAAAACACAATTAAGAGGAAAGAAAACGAAAAGAAGAAGTGGAAGTCCCGAAAAAAAAGTGGAAGTTAGACAATCCACTTCCGCAACTACCTACGCCTCTCAAAGCCAATCGTAGCAGATAAAACTTCGGAGCTCAAACGGGGCTGGATCAAGAGTAGCAAGGAGAACAAATAAAGCTGAAATTTAAACAAAATCACAAAAATACCTGGATGTACGGTTCTCACCCGTACATCCGGGTGTATAATATATGAACCCGTGGACGAGGCCAAGCTCTGCTATAAGAAGTCTTCCTGACAATGCAAAGGAACCACAACTCACGTACAACTGTGACTGAAACATGGCCTCCAAGCAGCAGCAGCAGAAGAAGAAGGAGCTTCATATAGTTATGTTTCCATGGCTTGCTTTTGGGCATATCACCCCATTCCTGGAGCTCTCCAAGTCCATAGCAGCAAAGGGTCACAGAATCTCCTTCATTTCCACTCCTCGAAACATAGATCGCCTTCCTCTCCTCCCACCCGACCTCGAATCCTCCATAACCATGGTCAAGATCCCGCTTCCTCGCGTCGATGGGCTGTCGTCGCCGAACGCGGAGGCCACGATGGACATTCAACCGGAGGAGATGCCTTACCTCAAAGAAGCCATGGATGGCATGGAAACAGAGGTGACTCGTTTCTTGGAGAGAACCTCCCCTGATTGGATCATCTTCGATGTCGCCCAGCACTGGCTCCCGCCTGTTGCGGCCAGGCTCGGGATTTCTCGGTGTTTCTTCATTACCACCAGCCCCTGGTTCACCGCTTTCTTCTCTGACGAATTCATGATGAGTATCTCCTCACCGCCAAAGATTGAAGACTTCTTAGCCCGCCCAAAGTCCATTACCTTTGAGACAAAGGCTCGATTCCGCCGGTAACAGTTATATATATATTCATAATAGAATTAAACTAGCTAGAGAGGATCCAAGTACTCCTCCTTCCCGTTAAATTGGGTCACACCCTATTCACTTAGCTTAGTCGACACAAATCACTTTTAACATTTTACTTTATATACCTAGTATATCAAATTTTTACTCAAGTATCAATTTTGATTCAGGCTTTTCCGACTTTATAAATCTTTTAATGTCGTTTCTAAAAATGTAATTTTTTATCTAAAAATAATTTGAGATTCGTAAACCAAATTGTCCCAATCTTTGTGGGACGGAGGGAGAATATGATAATTGAAAGTCTTTTGTATGGTGATTAACCAATTTATACAGGTACGAGGCAAAATGGATTCTCAGCTCGCCACCGAAGGTGTCTGCTAAAACAGATATGGACAGGCTTATTGCTGTGAAGACAGGTTCAGACCTACTCATCTCCCGACACAACAACGGATTGGAACGAAAATGGGTTAATGTGTTGGAGACGACTAACCGTGACCGGCCGGTGCTTCCGACAGGATTAATGCCGCCAACGGTTCATCTTACTGATGATCTTGACAAAAACAAAGACTGGATTTCCATTAAAAAGTGGTTGGATGGACGCAAAAAACGCTCCGTGATCTACGTGGCACTCGGGACCGAGTTGGTTGTCGGACCCGATCAAATTGGTGAGTTGGCTCGTGGGTTGGAACAGAGCGGAATTCCATTCTTTTGGACTCTGAGGACTCCACGAGGGAACCACACATCCTTGGGCTTGCCGGATGGGTTCGAAGAGAGAGTCGAAGGACGAGGAGTAGTGTGGAAGACATGGGCACCTCAGAAGGGCATACTGAGTCACGTCTCTGTCGGCGGGTTTTTGACTCATTGTGGTTGGAGTTCTATCATCGAGGGAATCACCTTTGGTCACCCACTAGTCATGCTTCCCTTCTTGTTTGACCAAGGTATTACTGCTCGTGTTATGGAGGACAACCAGGTCGGCATTGAAGTTCCGAGAGATGAAGAAGACGGGGCGTTCACAAGTAACTCGGTGGCTAACTCTGTAAGGTTTGTGATGCTTGAGAGTGAGGAGCGGAAGAAAGTACGAGAGAATGCCCGAAGGATGAGTTTGATCTTTGGAGATACAAAGTCAAATGACAAATGCATTGAAGATCTAATTGACTTTATGGCAAATCATACTATGAACAAGAATACAAATCATGCAATGTTCTTTGATTTGGTAATGCTATGTGTACTACTTATTATAATAATTATTAGTCTTCATATATATTAAGTAACTTACCAACATGTATTGTTACCCCAATGATCGTCTTCATATACATTGAAAATAAATTAACTTGCAATATATATCACCTTCATGATTGCATCTGTATACATTTATTATAATAATAATAATTATAATATATACACATTTAGTTTGCTCCAGATTTTCTTGCCTGATTTTCGTACCCAATTTATACGTAGTATATACTATTATATGGCAAGAGAGTGGTTTCAATGAGAACACTCATTGTGAGAAGTGAGAAAAAATCTTGTCCAACCATCATATTAAATGACCTGTTACTAAGGCATTGGTGCAAAATTTTAACATGAGCATCCTCACACAACAACTTGTGTCAAAATAGGAAAGTGCAATTAATAAGGGATGAAATGGTCAAGAATCATATAAAATGTTTTTAGTTTAAGAAAGATTTAACTTCTTAAAGAAATATATTATAACAAATATTATATCAAATTAAATAACTTTTATGATATTTCATATGACACCAATATTGCATATATATAGTTTTAAAAAACAATTAATTACAAGGTAAAATTCCCTAAATAGGAGTAAAAGCTTTTGAAATTCCAAAATAGGACTGTCGAGTTTTTATTCCCTAAATAGGAGTAATTTCTGCCGAGTTTGGCATTAGCAGGATTAAAAAATGGCAATTTCTATCAAATTTTTCCCAAACTTGACAAAAATTACTCCTATTTAGGGAATAAAAACATGAAGGTCATATTTGGAATTTCAAATTTTTTTTACTCCTAATCTTGACAATTTCTATTATTATAATATGTATACAATAAACCATAGCAAATATCTTCGGTTATTGCATTCAGGAAAACATGTATCTAACACACAACCGCCAATACCTGGCCTAATGCATATGAACTAGATTTGTACTCAATATGGAGTAATACTTACAAAAAAAAATCAACAAGAAAATAGAAAGTGAAATATGTCATATAACTAGTGTGTATATATATATATATATATATATGTGTGTGTGTCTGTGTGTGTGTGAGAGAGAGAGAGAGAGAGAAGTAATATCTAATGTACAAGAAACTTATATAAATTACTAGTTTTTATATCGCGCGTTGCGCGACTGAATAATGCCCAATTTTGTTATTTTTTAGAAATGTAGATGTATTTCGTTGATAACAAATAAAATGGGAAAGGGGCCAGGAACTTGTACATTATGGGAAAAAATAATAAGTTTTAAGTTGGATGTATTTTTAATTAAATAATTCTCATCCTTTCCAAGTCCCGATAATATTATCTTGATGTTCAATGTCCAAGCATAACATATCATACTTTGCATATTATTTTCCTATTTTTACCATATCAATACACCATGAGCCATCGGTGTGTGTGTGAACTAATATCTAATGTACAAGAAACATTATTCAATGCACAATATATATGTATAACAAAAAATAAAACAAGTATCTTAAGATAAAAATCCAATATCTAATGCACAAAAATTAGGAACTGATTAATATTTTAACACAGAAGGCCTTAAAAGGAACCTACATTAGTATATAACACACAAGAATGAGTATCTAACACACACTACATTTATGAACCACAAGCCAATACCTAACTTATATGTATACAACAATTCACTACAAGCATCTCTAGCTACCGCACAAGATATTGTATTTAATGCACACGATCATGATTCTTATGAAATATTCCCTCTGTCCCAATAAATTCTTCCAAGTATGACTTCGCTCTCAAATTAAGGAAGTGAGAATAAAGTGGAAATGTATGGTTGTAGTTGTGTAAAAAAAAGGTAAATGAACGTAAATCACACAATATTTCCAAAAGTGGAAGTTGGAAGAATTTGTTGGGATGGTCAAAAATGAAAGTTGGAAGAATTTAATGGGATGGAGGGAGTATTAATTATTCAATGGATTTAAGAATTACTAAATATAAAGACATGCCTCACGTTGAAAAATTCAAACAGAAATAATGGAACACAATAAGAATACTTCCTTTCCTAAAATGAAACACGCCTATTCATTGAATTATCGGTTACAAAAACTGTCAAAATGGATTATTCAAAAATGCCCATTGATACTTATGTGATCATTTCAGCGCATTGTATAATTTGAATGACTAAGATTTGTTCTTAGTTCTTACATTAAGGATTGTTATTATTTGAACCAAAATCTATATGCTGCCAATATATTAACAATAATAATGCCATAAAAATATTTGCCTTCTAAGGTCTAACTATCAAAGAAATGGGCAACTTATATACAATTTCAGACCTACCATTTTTTGGCAGCAACCTACCTATTGTTCAACTGTATTATTAGAACTGGACCGGACCGGGCGGGTCGACCCGGAAACCGGCGAACCGGCAGCTTAACCGGTCCGGTTACACCCAGACCTGTAAATGTGGGTAAACCTGGAAATACCCGCTGGCCCGGGGTGAACCCGGGACTGCCCAGACCCGGGAAACCCGGTTGTTTCACCCAAGAACCGGCTGAAATGCAAAAGTTTACACTGAGAAACGTTGCAAGTGTACAAGTGCTAATATAGTAATAAATTTCGGTAAAATACCGGGTCAAATCCACAGGGAAACGTTGTTTAATTTAGTCCGATAGTAGATGACCTTTAATAAATAAATGAGTAAAGTGCGGGGATTTTGATTTATGTGTTATATTTTTGGCTTTTCGCTTTTAATTCAAGAAAATAACTTTAATTAATTCGGATTTAAGATGAATGACAACAACAACTAAGGCTTCGAAAATCACTTAAATGCTTTAATAGAGTTGAATATTAGTTCTTTACCAATAATTATGAATACGATGCCGCTGATATATTCTCAACTCCGATTAAGGCAGCGAGAGCGTGGTTTTCGTTACGTGTAAGTCCCGTTACGGCTTACATTCATCTATCGAAAACCTCTTTGAATATCAAGACATCACACCGGTATCATATAATACCGGATATATTTCTATTTTCGGTAGTATATATGTTTATCCTTTAATGTTCATAGTTTAGATTTCAGCGTTAATTGCAAGCATAAACTAAATTTAACATACTTCTAGGTTGTACACCATAGTTATAAACAATCAAAATATAAAGGATCGATAAATCACAATTTATTGGTTTTGGACTTTTATCAAACACCTAGTGGGCATAAAAGTTCATCCCTAGCCTTAGCTAAGAAATTAGCTCCTTGAGCTCATACTAATTACAAAAGTGTAACTAAGATAAAAAAAAAATACAATAACATACAAGAAATATTACCTAGAACCAATTGTAGAGGAGAGAAATAGCTTCTTCTCCAACTCTTCAAGAAAATGCAAAAGTAAAATATAAAAATTGAATTTTTAGCTCCAAAGATGGAATGATGATCTTTTTTGATGAATTAGGGGGCTTTATATAGGCTAAAGATTGACATCTTTTAGTCTATTCAAACCCAACAATTAGGCATGGATGAAATATTTGATCAGATCATAAGGAAAGTGGGTTATTCCCATCAAAATATGGCTGCACGTCTCTTTGTATTCTACAGATTCGGGCTTTACCAGCACCGGTTTTAGGGTTGACCGGCGCCAGTTATCATAGTCACAATTTAACATACTTCTAGGTTGTACATCATAGTCATAAACAATCAAAATATAAAGGATCGATAAATCACAATTTATTGGTTTAGAAGTTCATCTCTAGCCTTAGCTAAGAAATTAGCTCCTTGACCTCATACTAATTACAAAAGTGTAACTAAGATAAAATAAATACAATAACATACATACAAGAAATATTACCTAGAACCAATTGTAGAGGAGAGAAATATCTTCTTCTCCAACTCTTCAAGAAAATTCAAAAGTAAAATATAAAAACTGATTTTTTAGCTCCAAAGATGGAATGATGATCTTCTTTGATGAATTGGGGGGCTTTAAATAGGCTAAAGATTGACATCTTTTAGTCTATTTAAAAACAACAATTAGGCATGGATGAAATATTTGATCATATCATAAGGAAAGTGAGGTTTTCCCATCAAAATATGGATGCACGTCTCTTTGTACTCTGCAGATTCGGGCTTTACCGGCACCGGTTTTAGGCTTGACCGGTGCCGGTTTTCATTCGGGGCTGGAATTATACTGAAAAATACCATAACCGGCGTCGGTTATAGGGGTGGACCGGCGCCGGTTATACTTCGGCCAAGAGGGAAAATGGCAAATTAAATTCAACCGGCGTCGGTTAGGTCACTGGACCGGCGCCGGGTTTCCCCTGCAATGCAATACTTCATTTTTCTCTCTGTTTTACGCACGTAGTTGACCCCGAAGTGTCAGTTTTTTGCCCCTTTTTGACTAGGGGTGGGCAAAAATACCGAAAAATCAGTATACCGCACTTACCATACCGAAATATACCGGAAAAAACCGGAATATTGGTATACCGTTATTTTCGGTAAGGTATCATACTGTACCGATTTATTTCGGTACGGTAACGGTAAATGTTTTAATATGCCGCGGTATACCGGTATAATACCGTATCGACTTCTTACCCAACAATTACTTTTAATTCTAAGATATTATAAAAATCCATCACAATTTTGAAACCCAAAATTAATACTTAGGTTGGTTACAAATACCAAAATACAAAAAGAAAGGCCTAATTTCCCAAATCTACTACTACCTCCGTCCCAGGGACAAGTTCCCACTTTCGTTTTTTGGCAGTCCCAACAAAAAGTTCCCATTTCCCTAAATGGAAAGTTATCCTACATCAAAACAGTGTCAAACAGTGCAAAACAATGCCGAACAGTGTCGAAACAGTGCCAAACAGTAAAATTTACCCCTCAATAACTTTATTTCCTTAATATGTGTGAAAGTCAACCCGGGAAATTCTCCCTGGGGCGGAGGGAGTATAACCTTTCAGGCTTATACTACGTAACATTCAAACAAACTAACCCTAATGACTAATGAGTGATGTACTAATGTCCACAAATTATTTCAAGAGCATGCGAGTCGCGACGACTGAAAGCCGAGTAGCGTACAAGTGAAAAGGGATACACTTATGTGGCGAGTCTATTTACATATGG